ATAAAAAGAGCAATGACGTTGAAAAGAATAAAGAAGAAAAAACACAAAACGTAACACTTGCAAGCACCAGTTTCCTACATGAAGTATTTCTTCAAATATTCTTAATTAATATCGATGCAAACAAACGGCACAAGACTGTAAGCGCACTTATTGAGACAGGGTCGCTCATGACATATTAAAGGAGAGTGCTGTAGACATAGGGAGCCACGCAAGTGGATCTGAATCTTTAATTCATGCGTTTGGAGGAGCAACAACGAAGAGAGAAATTCACAAACGCTATGAAGTGAACGTTAGAAGCCTAAAAGGTGATTTTTATAGACAACTAATCTTGTTGGAACAGTCGAAGATTTGTGGATCAGTAGTCAGTTTACAGCCTGGACCATGGATAGAAGAACTAAAGCAGAAACATATCCATACATTTGATGTAGAAAGAAGGAATTTGAAAACAGAAGTTCTTATTGAAACTGACGTCGCAGGTGCACTATTAAACGGAAGAATTCAGAAATTAGACAATGAGCTGACTGCTGTGGAATCACTACTTCGATATACAATCATTGGAAAGATACGTGATTAAGTTTCCCCAGAAAGAAACTCCTTGTCCGTGTCATCAACAATAACATCCATGCTGATTCACAGTAGTGACATCGAAAACATGTGGAAGCTAGAAGCACTGGGAATTACAGATGCTTAAGAAAATAAAACTGATTCAGAGTTAGAAGAAGCAGTGGGGGATCACTTTCGCAAGAAAGAAGAGGGTGGACGATCGATATGAAGTCAGTATACCTTGGATCAACGATAAAGAAACTTTACCAAGTAATAGAGAAGTTGCTGAAAAAGATTGATTTCCCCGACAAAGGAGCTCATGTTGAAAGATAAATTTGAAACATACAATGCAGTGTTCGAAGAGTGGCTCGAATCTGGAGAAATAGAAGAAGTACCAGAAAAAGAGGAAATCATTATCTTCCTTACAGACCGCTCTTCAAAGAAAACTGCACAACAGCAGTAACACCTTGTTATAAAATTGATAGTTTGCGCCGTTAGGTGGCGCTCCGAACGTCTTGTCTCTGTTGATATTCTGTAACTTAGTTTAGTTTGATGGAAGAACGAAGGTGTTAACCCTAATAATGATGAAGGCGTTTGCCTAATAATAATCCTTGTAACCAATGTATTATATTGTAAATAAAACGTGTGTGTATTAATAACGAAGCGGATTATCACTTACCTCTAGAATTAATGCTCTCTGATGGTAATGGAATTAGTTGTTACAAACCTGTATATGACGCTTCATGCATGCAAAAGGATTTTCTGTCCTTTTGCATGCATGAACGACTGTCTAGCAAAAGATCAAAATTTAATTTAATTGATACCTAAATTGCTTCTTGAATTTAGACAAGGAAAAGTAGTTTTTTATCTCAGATATTAGAAAAGCCTTTCGTCAAATATCTGTTCAAAGAAATTATCGTAATTTCCTACGATTCCTATGGTGGAAAAACTCTGAACAAAATTAAATAAGAAAATATCGCCATTGTAGAGTAGTCTTCGGACTAAAATGCAGTCCGTTTCTTTTATGAGCAGTGATAACTCTCATTTAAACCAATGTGAACCTTCTTTGAAGGAAGTGGCTACGAAATTGAAAAATTCCTTTTATGTTGATAACTGTGTCACTTCAGTGAATTCGTATGAAAAAGCAGAATACTTTATTATAAAATCAACTCACTTCATCGCAAGTGCTAACTTTGACTTAAGAGAGTGGAAACAAACAGAACTGAGTAGTGAAAAATCTACAGTGGGCGAAACATTGAAAGTACTTAATCTTCTGTGGGACAAATATGAAGACCCATTGTTCTGTGACATCTCTAATATCGATTTGATTGATCTCTCAGTGACAAGAGGAAACGTAAGACGAAAAAAAAGTACTATCAAAGCTGGACTAAGTTTTCCTCAGGCTCTCAAAGCAAGCTCTTTACCATAGCAAAATTATAATCAAGACGACAAAAGTCCCAACTGTTGAATTTTCTCAGCTTGCTACTAATAGCAATAATTTAAATATGATGAATTTAAATTCTAAGGATGGCAATAATTCTGAATTATTTGAATTTTTCAAATGTTTAAAAGATATTCACAGTGTCTTCGAACATAATAATATTGTAAATATGACACAAATATTTAAAAACTATGTTTCAAAATTAAAAGTTTATACTGACAACATTGATAAACTTTTTGTATATTTTGAAATGTTACCTGAAATTAATGGCTAATGCATTTAATAATGTCTAAAATATTTCAATAGTTACATGAAACACAAATAGTTTGTCTGGTAAGTATAACGAACTTAGGAATTTTATATTGGAGTACGGTCCCGATATTATTTTCCTTCAAGAAACCAAGCTTAGCTCACAACAAAATTTCTGAAACTATGATTGTTATATAAAAGATCGACCATACACAAGCAACAGAATTTCTGGTGGAGTTATGGTTTTATTTAAAAGCTCCATCTCTAACTTTTGTACTACAGTTTCCGCCAATGAGGCTTTAACTATCAAGATCATACCACACACTCAACGACTAATCACATTCGTCTTCATCTATTTACCCTTCCACAAAAGGATATTTTAGCCGATTTAACGGCTCTATCTAAGTTAAATAACCATATTATTTTAGGGGGAGATTTAAATACACATCACAACTAGAACTGCAGTAGAAACTGTAAATACTGATCCATTTTAAATAATTTCGCCAACTCGGCCAACCTTCATATTGCAGCTCCGCCATACCCAACACGCTATAGCTCTGATAGCACTAGCATTACTGATTTTTTATTTTGAAGAATGTTAATGCTCTTCATAAAATTTAGAGTTTATGCGAATTATCATCAGACCACAATCCTGTTTTAATGGAGGTCACTATCAGCAGCTGTAACACACCACACAAAAGACCCCTTATTACTAACTGAATAAATTATGCCAAAGCTCTAAACAACACACAGTACATACTTCTAACGGTACAGAGTGAGGATGATTTAGATACTTTAGTTGATGACTTTACAAATACTTTAAACAAGGCACTTCTTGACAATAGTAAGGAAGTACAAATGGAAAAAAGATCAAGAGACCCTGAAATTAAGAAATTGCCCATGGGATAAAGAGATTATGAACAATTTACATCAAAAGGTCAGGTCTCGTACTAACTTACATGAGCATCAAGAAGGTCTAGATATTTGGAATCCCTCTCCAGTGATGATCATTCACTCTGGAAAGCATTTTAAAAATATAAAGGATGCTGTACCAGTATTCCGCCCCTTAACGGCTACAACGGGATCGCCTACACCGAAACTGAGCTGAGTCTCTAGCTGGTAACTAAGCTACTCAATTTTCTATAAACGACATTTTTGACACAGACACTGAACGTAGTGTTTTTTCACAAACAATTTATGTTTTTCACAACCACACACAGACAACATTCGTCTAGCTAAGTCGTCTGAAGTAATTCGAAATATCGAGAAAAGAAATTCAAGGATAAATGAAGTCAGCAACAAGATGATCAGAGAAATGAGTCATGTGATGTTATTTAAATTCACCAACATCATCAACCATATGTTAACTTTTGGATATTTATCGAGGAAATGGAAAACAGCTGTTTTAGTACCTATTTAGAAGCCAACCAAGCCTGCAAACGACCCAACATCATACAAACTAGTGAGTTTGTAATCTACACTCAGCAAAATTTCGGACGCTCCAATCTACGTCAGAATTTTGGAACATGTCAATAGTCATAAAATCCCTATACCTCAGCAGCATGGGTTTCGTCGAAAACACTCACCTATCCACCAGCTGTATAGAATTACTGAATACATCGCAGAAGGTTTTCAAACTGGAGAAAGCACACGAGCTCTTTTTCTTAATGTATTTAAGGTATTCTTCAGAGTATGGCTAAACAAGATAGTCTACTAACTTATCTCCCTGGGTTTCCCAGGATACATTATAAGCATCACTAAATCTTATCTCTATGAGAGGCATTTTGTCGTTCGTTACAAAAATCCATATTTCACACAGAGGAGGATACATACTGGGCCTTTGGTTGGCCCAATATACAGTAGTACCTCGCGATACGATGGGTTCACGATACGATGTGTTCAAGATACGAAGTGGAATATCGCAAATATTCGTGCTCGCGAAACGATACGTTTTTCGCGATGCGATCCCAATATCTCTTGCCGCTTGAAATTGTTTTGAAGTTGGCGCGCTACGGGCAAACCTCACGCGTCACTAAGCAAGCCTCAGCAAGCCTCAATACGTCACTATTCAAGCTGTTCTGGTATTGGTCGACGTGACGTCATCTTCCTTTCTCTATAAATCCTGTTCTCCTATTGGTCGGCATCACGGCATCGTAGGATACCGAATCCACATAAAGCGTCGATGTGATATCGTTCTCTCCTTCTCGAGACCGCGTGGCGTTCGTACAGTTCGTACGATATTCTTGTGATTGTGTGATCGTAATATTATTTTGTGATAAACTTTATTCGCCATGGGTCCTAAATGTGCTTCTAGTGCTGGTGGTGATAAGGGGAAAAGAAAGTCATTGATAACCATGGAAGTGAAGTTGGAAATTATAAAAAAATACGAAAGTGGCATGCGCATCATGGCTATTGCTAATGCATATGGACGAAACCAATCGACGACTAGTACCATTATAAAGAATAAAGAAGCCATTAAAGCCAGCAAGTCTGCAAAGGGCATTACCACCTTCTCATACAATAGAACTGCCCTTAATGACGAGATGGAGACTCTTCTTATTTGGATAAAAGAGAAGGAAATTGCTGGTGATACGATAACACAAGCTGCTATATGCCATAAAGCCACTGCGATCTTTGAAGACCTCGCAAAAGCCCAGAGAGACGAAGGCGGCGAAGGGACATCAACACAAGAGGCCCCAACGTTCAAAGCATCTCATGGGTGGTTTGAACGATTCAAGAAGATCGGGGATACATAACGTGGTCAGGCATGGGGAAGCTGCCAGCGCCGATGAAAAAAAAGCAGCACAAAGAATTTATCGAGGCCTTCAAAAAGTTAATCCTCGATGAAGGCTACATCCCTCAACAAGTCTTCAACTGTGATGAAACGGGGTTTTTCTGGAAGAAAATGCCCCCGTCGTACATACATCACAGAAGAAGAAAAAGAAACTTCTTGGACACAAAACCCTTGAAGGATAGGCTTACTCTTGCCCTATGTGCGAATGCCAGTGGGGATTTAAAAATAAAAACCCCTACTGGTATACCACTCAAAAATCCTTGTGCTTCAAGGTACATAATGTGTCGAAGGATAAGCTCGCCGTCTTTTGGAGGTCCAACGCCAAAGCTTGGGTCACGAGGCTTTTATTTGTTGAGTGGGTTAATTGCTGCTTTCGGACCTGCAGTGAAAAAATATTTAGAGGAGAATGGTCTTCCTCTAAAATGCCTCCTTGTGCTCGACAATGCCCCTGCTCATCCTCCTGGCCTTGAAAGAACAGATACATCCCGACTTCGACTTCATCAAAGTGCTCTATCTGCCACTGAACACCACTTCCATCCTCCAGCCTATGGACCAGCAAGTCATTGCTAATTTTAAGAAGCTTTACACAAAGCACCTTTTCAAACGATGCTTCGAAGTGACAGAGAGCACGCAACTCACACTCCGTGAGTTTTGGAATAGTCACTACGATATTGTCCATTGCTTAAAAATCATAGAAAAGGCATGGGGTGAGGTCTCAAGGTGCACCTTGAACTCAGCATGGAGGAAACTCTGGACAGCTGTGGTTGCAGAACGAGACTTTGAGGGTTTCGAAATCCCTACTGAAGAAGCTGTGGATGATCCTGCTCCATTGGAGGAGATTATTTCTCTGTCAAAGTCTCTGGGGCTTGTCGTCGATGAGGCTGACATTGACAACCTACTCGATGAGCACAAGGAGGAGCTCAACACTGACGACTTGAAGGCATTGGAGGCGATGGAAATTAGCGATCTTCAAGAGGAACATCATTCGAGTGTTGAGGAGGAGGTGGAGGTGGCACTGACATCTAGGAATACGGGAAGCCATCGGTTTGGTTTGAAACTTAAAACAGTTTTATTTGAAAAAAAGCACCCAGAAAAATGCGTACAGCTCGTGCAATGGACAATGTGAATGACATTTGTATGAGTCATTTTCGAAACATTTTGAGGAGTCGTCAGAACAGGCTTCTTTAGATAGATATTTTTTTAAGAGAAAGTGCCCCAGAAAGTGAAGAAGCGAGTGTTTCTAGTAGAAACTGGAAAGGAAAGTGAAGACGATGATGTAGACGATGATGTATCACCTCAAATTTAAGTTCAGTTAGTTAAAAAAAAAAAAAGCAAAAAAAAAAAAAAAAAATTACAAAGATAAAAATTATAAAAAAAAATTATTTTAAGTTTTCATTACTGTGCCTGTAATTTACATAAGAAATTTAATTTTAAAAGAAATTTAATTAAAGTTTTCATTACTGTGTCTAAGTTTTATAAACGCTGTGCGCAATTTATCAGTGTCGTAATAAAAAACTCCCTCGCTGACTGTACAGTACTTTACGGTAAGTGAAATTAATTTTTCTTTTTTTTTTATTTACTTATAAGGTTATTTTAATTTATAAATGTGGTACTTAATATACTATTTTGTGACTAATTATTATTACGTATATGGGGTTTTTGGTGTTTATATATGGGGCGTTGCACGAATTAATTAAATTACATAAGATTACATTGTTCATTATACGATTTTTTTACGATACGATCCCGGTCCAGGAACGGATTAAGATCGCATCGCGAGGTACCACTGTACTTATTATATGCGAACGACATACCACACACACCTTATACTACTCTAGCCATGTGCGCCGATGACACGGCGATCCTAGCAAAAAATGCATCTCTAGACCGTGTCACACAGGCACTACAAATACACATTCATGCACTGGAGGCCTGGCTCCAAAAAAGGAAAATCCTCTCAAATATGGATAAATCTGTGGCAGTACATTTCACTAGAAAAAGAAGGATTCATCAAAATGTCTGGAACTATTATCTCTCGGGCTAAGCAAGTAAAATACTTAGGTGTTACGTTAGATAGGAATTTAACATTTAGGCCCCACACTACACAAGTTATTAATAAGTTCCGAGCTGCTAAACATAAACTCTTACCCTCAATTCCTCGGAACTCAGTTTTATCTATTGATAATAAATTACTTTTCTAAAAAGCCATGTTGCGTTCTATTATAACTTACGCCTGTCCTGTATGGTACTTTGCCAGTACAGTGCATATGAGGAAATTGCAAGTTTTATAAAATGTTACGTTAAGACAGATCACCAATAGTAAATGGTTTATTAGAAACTCAATCATCCACGGTGAATTTAAAATCTTGCAAATAAAAACTTTTATGGCCAAAATAGCCAAAAGATTCTTTAAAAATATCCACAAGGTGGAAAACAGTAGCATACCAGAATTAAATTATGAGTACAGCGATATAAACGGGGGCCAGAAGAGCTGGCGCATTATTAAAAACATTAAACTGAATTCTGTTAAGTGATTAGGACTTAATTGCAACGCAATAATATTTTTTACAGCTGGGTTTCAAATTTATTAGTTAATTCCTATTTCATTTCTATTTTATTCCTTTTTATTTTTACTCCTAATGATAAATTGATTATAGCACTCTTTACTTAATGTATGCAATAGTAGCCCCTACCTCTTTTTCGACTCTACCAATTCAAAATTGTATGGCTCTGAAACCCCGCCCCTTCCAATATGCCTGCCAATAGCTTTTTAGAGTTGCACTTTCTCTTCTCTACATACTGTATCTACACAGCTTTTTCGAAGCAGATGACCAAGTTCCTTCACTGACTGAAGAACTGGCTCCACCGAAGGCAGTAGCTCGTCTGGACTCTCCACGGAAAGTTTTCGAAATGATTTCTGTATTAACTTGCGAATACATCGACTTTCAATACAATAATTGCTATTAGTTTATCTCCAAAACCTACTAAAATAAATACCTATATTTACTATCTCTCACAAAACTAAGGAACCACTAAAATGCCGTAAATTATGCTATGCCTATCATAAGATATGTGCACCCTTCTACTTCTACGTATTACACACAGGGTAGGGCTATGCCCAGGAACCTGAAGCGTGACTTAGTCACTTAATCTGACGAAACGTATTATCAGTTGTGAAAGAGTTTTTCACCCAATAGGTTTCACCTGCCTGCAGAATTAGAGATGCTCGAGTTTTCGAGATTCTCGGAATTGATTTAGCTGACACATAAGTTTTGAAGGATAAAAGAAAAGCTTGTTTCTTACTTTTCACCTGTACTATTTTCAAGGCGGTTCATTTGGAACTGATTTTATCCCTTCCAGATCAAGGATTTTTACTTGGCCTTAGAAGACTTATTGCTCGCAGAAGGAGGCCATCCATAATTTATAGCGATGAGTTGAAATACCATCGAGATAGGAGCTGCACAAACAAGATCCACTGGAACTGCAGTCCACCCCCAGCATCATGGTTGGGTGGCTTTTGGAAACGACTTGTTCAAATGATTAAAGAAGCTTTTGCGTTGAGTCCTAGGTCAGTCGTGTCTGAATTATGAAGAACTGGCGAAGCAACTGTGAATGCCAGACCACTCACTTATGTGTCAGAGGACTCTGATGATCTCGTCCCTTTGACACCGTCCTTGTTTTGAGACGAAATTTCAGTCTTTGGAGTTTCGAACTTGGATCACCTTGATAAAGTTGATTTCAACAAGAGACTAAGACATCTACATAATTTACGAGAACTCTTGAGAAAGAGATTTAGAAATGAATATCTCGGCCTGCTAATGCAACGTCCATCTACAATGCCGATTTCTCAACAGATAAAAATAGGTGACATAATTTTCATCGAGTGTGATGAAAAACGCAAGGTTGCTGTGGCCTCTAGCAAAAGTGATTGATCTATACTCAGGAAAAGACGGTAACATTCGAGTAGTTCGTGTCAAAGCCATGTCTGGAAAATTAGTTCGACCAATCCAGACAATATTCTCTCTCGAAATACCTTCATCTTTGGAGTCCGATGAGGCAAATGAAACTGAGAAGCAGGGTGAAGATAATTAATTTTTTAAATTACCAAAGATTAATTTAGCTCCAGATTTATCAAAGGACATTAATAATGTAGTGACTAGAAGTGGACGACAAATTAAAATCCCATCTAGATTTCTTACCTGAGCACTAGTTGAATCATTTTAGTGTAGAAATTTAAGAATTTAATTTTCTTTTTGTTTACTATTTAGCTTTGATATTTGTCTGAACAGTATTTTTTAGATTGATTAAGTGTATGTCATAAATCAAAAGGTAGGAGTATTGTTAGAACTAAGCCTCAGTTGCTATTTTTAATTTATAATTTGACATTCTAAGAATGCGAACCATCTGATTTTTGTTGTAGTTTGTTGCTGTTCTACGGATTTTGAAAATAAACATGACGCTTTGGAATATTAGTTGTAAAACTGTTTTATTTTAAATTTATTAGGATAAAGGAACCTCGAACACCATTTTGGATTTCCTTGAAGAGTGTAAATTTTAGATATTTGTGATTTTAGATCAATTAGTTATTTTATTTGTTTCAAAAAATGAACCAATGTTGGTATGCAGAGTAAAGCAATCAAGCTTGCATCTGATGATAAGAGCTTAATATTTAAATGTGAAATGGACAGCTGTTATGTATTACATTATAGGAGAACTATTAAATTGGATAAAATTGCTAAGACAGGTACTGAACGTTCTGCAAAATATATTTACTGTAAATTTTGAATTTGATAATGAATATATCCATAAACATGTTTTAAGTCAAAAGTTTGCAACTTCTTGGCTAAATGTGAATATAAAATTATGCATGTTAAATACTTGTAATTCGACACATATGTCAGATTAAGTTTTTAAATTAAGGCAAAGCATGCAAGAGCTATCTGCCTAAATTGAGGGATGTCTTCGTGAAGGGCTTTCGAAGGAAAATTGACTTTTTGCGTGCGTATTAAAAATAATGCGTGCAATTTTCATTCAATTTATATTTTTACAGTTCCTTATGTGAAAATTCTGATATATGCCAAATTATTGCAAATTACTTTATTCGCAAAATGTACTGACTGTACAGAAAATAAAGATTTCCACATAGTGGAAATGAAAAATATTACATATATATGAATATTTATGCAAATTCTTATAAAAAGTATGCATTTGCCTTTAAGTAACTACGTAAATATTTATTGATTTATTTATAAATGTATCTGGAAATGAAGGATTTATTCATTCACAACTTCTGTAAATGTTCCTGTAAAGAAATTTACTTATATCCGAATTTATAATTAATATAAATATTATCTAAGTTGACCTCAACATTTAACTGTAAACATAAATTAAAATTATGTTAACAAATATGTTTATAAAACTATTTAAGCAAGAGTTGTTCGTTCTGGAAAACAATCTATTAAAAGTTTTGCAAAGCGCAGTCTATGAAATGTGCACTTAGTAATAAAGTAGAATTTTTAGAATGTGTATTTTTGAAATTAAGCGTAAAAAAATTAATAAGTGTTTAAAGAATTATTTCCTTACATTTAAAAATATTTCAGTTACAAGTTTTAGTAACATTAATAAATCCCCTTTTTATTATCAGTTTCAGAAATACTCATAGAAAGTTAAATACATCGAAATCAGCAATAATATTTAACGTATTTAATTATTAAAATAAAAGGTACTTTAATTTGAAATGAATCAAACAGAGAATTAATTATAGAGTGACTACGATTTTTGATTTAAAATATGTCTCTGAAGCTGAAAATCATATCATATTTGAGAAAATATTTCTGAAAGATTCTCTTTGAATAGAAAAGAAATAATGTGTGATTTTAACATTAATTATACAACAAAATTTTGATTTTAATTTTAGTAATCGTTAATGGGATAAAACTGAATTACCTTAAAATTCCTTTCTAATGTAATTAATGAAAACATTTCACTTAAATTAAAACTGTGCTGAGCATGGAAGCAGTATAGCATTTGATTTCGTATAGAATGAAATGCTGTTTAAAACTATATTTTTTCACGTGCTAAGTACTCTGAAATATTGTGGGGGGAAAATATATTCATACTTATAGTTACAACGCAATTACAAAACGTTTACTTCCGAACGAAAAAAATCTTATTGATCCCTTAATGGCAAATCACTGAATCTTTTGGTAAACAAGAGGAGTCTGTCTCTGCTTCAAAACAGTTATATGGAAAAAAAAACCAGCTCTGTCCTCTCCTCTCTTTCTTGCTTTTGTGTGAGGAAAGAAGGGCAAAAATACCTTATATACTCACCCCTTTTTTTTAAAGAGTGAGTGAGGATTAGCTGACCCAGTCGCCAAATAATGGTGGCGATGAATTATCGTAAACCACATTTTAGTTTAGGAGCCACTTTTAGAGTTATTTAGAATTTTTCGAAGCAAGGAAATATAAGAAATCCGCAAAGCCCTTGCAGGGCTTCGAACTCCGGATCTCCTAAATACACGTCGAGTGTACTTCCAGTTACACCACGAATTCATGCAGAAAGGAGGAAGAAAATTCTTTATAAAAATCCCGTAGGAAAACGTACTATGAAGTTGAATAAGGCTATAGTTTAAATGCAAGAATAATTACCAGAAATAAACTTAGATTATAAAACTAAAATAAAAATATCTTATAATATCTTACAAATAACTAACTACCAATCATATGAATTTTTCCTGCAATATTTGCACCGCTATTAATAATCCACAAATTCGTTCGTAGAATGACAAATATTAATCTTGAATGCAGTGAAATTAATTTTCTTATTTACTCATATTTATTTTAAGTTACTGGGATATTTGATGTTCCCTATTTTGACTATTTTTTCTTTTAGCTTTTTCGAAACAGAAAACTTAATCATTTGATCGGAAAATTTACCTGCAGTTGAAAGTAATCTCCTGGATAAAAGTTATGCAGTTCGTTGCTTTTGCGTCAGACATATTTATTATTATTTACTCTACAAAACTCTTAGACATCAAATTTTACGATCCTACATACCACTAGAAACGTTTGCCATACAAGAAATCGCTAAACAAAATACCATTTTTAAAGGCGGAAAAAAGTAATTTGCATTCATGTTCACATCTTACAGACATCAAAACAGCGATTTGTCAATGATTTTTGTTTGCTTCATAATTAAGACGTGATTTGATAGATACACGAGTATTGTTAGTCTCTCAGAACTGCTTCCTACCTGAAGGGGAAAAAAGATGCAGTCTTATAGGTCATAGGCATTCTTCGTTGGCACTGAATCGTCTGTCGGCATTTGTTTTCAGTTTTGAACTGGTAATTTCAACACCGCCTATTTCTTTCGTGGATTGCTACATCTTCAAAGAGAAGGTCGTGGAGTCAGATCCTCAAAACCTAAAGTGTTTTACCACAAAGCATTTGCATTAAGACTTTCGATTGTTTCTGATCAGTTCATGACAAGATCTGTTTCGCGATCCAGTTTCTGTATTATGTTTGTTTATTTCATCTACTACAACACATTTAGTTTTAATAAAATATGTATGTGAAATAAGCAACTCATAGTTGCTTTAAAGACTCCATTTCATGCAATACATTAGTGGTTCCCAAAATGTGCGGTTGAAAACATTTTTGAAGAGCAACAAAAATTCTAGAATATTATTTTTTCTTCTTCTGTAATTACAGATATGTATCTGTAAGTAAGAATTAATTGTAATTATCAATTTATTCTTAATATTTATATATGTCTATTTATGACTGCATTATCTTTTTCTAAGAATCTCCATTTTCTCCCTTCTCTTACAGAAACTACTATATGCACATATATATACGTGGATCTCGATATGCATGTAGGTTGCGAGATTAAAATATTTGAGAAACATTATCTACATGACATAGGCATCATACGAGCACATCGATCTCGCATCGTTTTTCGAATTTCAAATTCAGAATAATATTTTAAAGGCATCTGTTTACATTTAAAGCAATAAATAATGTCCTTATCCATGAGCTTTTAAACCGAGAAAGGTGCAGTGAAGGGAACTCAACCTCGAACTGTCTGAACCCTAATAACTTCTTGAGTTATCCATTCTTTTCCAAAAATTATTGAAAAATTTCTTCCAACCACTTTTCATCAATTTATCAGTAATTCACGCTTTATTACTTGCATTGTTTCTTCGCATGCTTGAGGCAATTTTCTTCTTCTCTTTTTCTATGACTAACAGTGTGAGCTTCTCTAGAGTTGTCATACTGGTCGCAAATAATACGTTACTCTTTGCTTACGCATTTAACTGCTATACATAGCATCATTAATTTTTTCCCTTGATAAAACGTAATAAAAAAACCAATATGACATTCAGTATTAGAAACATCATCCCGTGGTTGAGATTTTAGTCTTTCGTCTTCTCAGTATTTTGCGATACAACCTATATATTTTCTTCTGAAGCTTAATGGAAATTCAGTTCTGTCACAACTTGAACTTTTGCAGTAAACATAACTCAATTAAGCTACATTTAATTTTTAACTGATACATGAAGCTATTAGCATTCATATTTCGCATCATTAT